TGTGCCGAGGGAAGTTGTGCCTGCCCCATCCCTGGCAGTGTTGAAGGGCAGGTTGGATGGGGCTTGGAGCAGCCTGGAATGGTGGGAGGTGTCCATGCCATGCAGGGGTGGGACTGGATGGGCTTGAAGGTCCCTTCCAACCCAAACCAATCATGATTCTTTGAAGTCACTGCCTGCTGTGGCCACAGGTAGCTGCCTAGGAGAAAGGCAAGCTCTTGTTATCCCACCAGGAAGGATCCATCCCTTGCCACAGAGAGACCGGTATCTCACCAGAGATTCTGGGCTCCCATGGCACCCTCGGGCAGATGACTGACCCACAGATAATTTGCCTCCACAGAGCACTCAGGTGCCTGGTAGCTGGGTCAGCAGCTGGGCAGGACCTGCTGTTCCTTCCTGGGGAGCACCAGGGGCTGCCGAGGGATCTGCCAAGGGACACGTTCCCCTCCTCTAACCCCTGCACAGCCAGGGCAGCTCGGGCTCCATCCAGCTCTGGTGCTCTTGGCCCAAAGCAGTTCGTTAGCCAGGCAAAAACCTGTGTCAAGAGCAGGTCCCTCCATCACAACATGGCCTGTCAGACCAACCAGGAATGTGACCAGGCTCTCTTCATTTCAGCACCTCTGACCAGAAAAAATGCACAGACCCTCCTCTTCAGATTGTCCTCTCTGGGTGCTTCATGTTATGACAGTGTTTTCCTCAAGTCTCTAGAGCTGGAGCAGACTGAAACTAAACATTTTCCAGAGACTCAAACCCCTTTTTTGTGTGTGTTTTGTTGGTTTATTTTGGTTGTCAGAGATTTCACGCTGCGGTTTCACTTCAAACGGATCTAAAAATGAACTTCCAGAATCTTCTTTCTTTTCCTTTTTCTTTCTGTGACCATCCAAGGAAAGGGACCTGATCTGAGAAGATGAGGGTCGGCAACACGAGCTGCTGCAAATTGCTGCTCAGGACCCCCCAGGTCACGGCCATGGAGCCAGTTCCCCAGCCCCCCAGCAGCTGCCCCACTTCCCTCCACGCCCCACGTCCCCAGATCGGGATGCACGTCGTTCCTCCCAGGCCCTTCCTAGGGAGTATTTGTGGTGCATCCACATCCTGGAAGAATTTCAGGTTCCAAACAATTGATTAATTTGCTCTGCATTTTCTAGGGGAAAGCCAGATCCCCCACGGAAGGGGCATCATGAATTCTAGTTATTCAGTGCCAGGCAGGAAAGGGCTCTTTTAGATTAAAGTGTTCTCCCCTTCTCACTGTCCTGCTTCCTTCTCTCCCACGAAAAACTGAAGTCATCTCCTTAGCCTGGGGAAGGCAGAAGTCTCTGTGATCTACTTAGATTTGGTCACAGAAGCAAACTGCAGCCGCAGAACTTGACTGGGGGCATCTCACAGTCTGACCTGGCATCACCACCCAAGAGTCCTCCATTGACTCAAGAAGGACCACCACCACAATCACCACCACCATAATCACCACCACCATAATCACCAACACCATCACCACCATCACCACCATCACCACAACCACCAGCACAACCACCACCATGACCACCACTACCACCACCATGACCACCATCACCACCACCATCACCACCACCACAACCACAACCATCACCACCACCACCAGCACCACCATCACCAGCACCACCACCACTACCACCTCCACTCATCCTTCCTGTGCTGTCACCACAGAACGGCCCAATCTCTCATCTCCCAAAGGCCTGTGGGCCAAGGGACCTTCCCCTCCTGGCCTGTCCCACACTCCCCACTCCCCTGATCTCACCTTCCAATAGTTCTTAAAAAAAACCATTGCCCTACCATTTTTTTTCCCAATATACTGAAATACTACAACATTTTTCACAGAGCAAAGCAGCCACCACTGGAGACAGCAAGAAAGGCAGCATCTCAGCTCTTTCCTAAACCAACACCATGTCACTCATGGTCTGTTCTACTGGTCTGCTCATCATCATCCCATTTCCAAACGAGAAGCTCTGGCATCTGCTAACAGATGTTTACTGCAGGGTCCCTGCAGCCTCAGGGGGGCTGGGGAGTGGCCAAGGGAGCTGCAAAAACCACGGGCAGAGCTCCAAGGGCTACCACCCCATCTCACCCTCTGAACTGCACCTGACCTGCTTCCCCCACAGAAAAGGGTGGAACTTCCCTGTCCTCTGTGGGATCTCCCTCCAGTGCTGTCACATTTCAAATGCACTGAAACTATTTATTCCAGAGAAACATGAAGAACCTTGGCACAAGGAGGGGGCAAGGAGCAGCCCCCACCCTACAGCAGCAGAGCAACCAACAGGAGTTCACATCAGCATTCAGCACCAGGCCAGAGAGACACAGAGACCAGTGTCCTGCACGACGTGCTCCCACGTGCCCTTGGTCTGTTTTAATGGTATTTTGAAACCTGAAGTTGGAGACAGGGCACAGGGATGGGCTGGAGTCCTGCAGGAGGGAGCAGCTCAGCTCTCAGCTCCAGCCTATGGAGAAGCAAGACCAGGGCAGAGCCCAGCAGGGTTTTCCACCAACAGCTTCTTCCAACTCTGTGTGGCTTAAAGCTTCAGGCTCTCAACTCCTTTGCTAAGTCCTGCCTGGAGAAGTTGGTGGTCCCACCAGCGCTGGTACCAACAGTCTCCATTCTGCAATCAGGATGAGGTGAGACTGTCAAGGTACTTCTCAAGATGAGAAGCATGACCTTTCCTCTGTCATGGCCTGGTCCTGATCAAGCTCTGTCTCTTCCATGAATGAACTTGCCACAGACTCTTTCCACCACACCAGAGGAGTGAAGCTCCATCCCCTTCACCTTCAGCAGTACCTGGGATACCCTAGGCCCAGGCTGACAAGGCCAACAGGTGAGGTTCTGAAATCTTCAGATGAAGTGAACATATTCTGGAGATGCAGGAGACCACCCAGCAGCCAGGTGTGATGCTCAGGACCTGAGCTGCCACCTCATGAGCATGGCTTGCTGCTGGAGCCACACAGCCAAACACTTTATTGCAGCATCCTATTTCTACAAGCCAGAGAGCGAAGTGGCACCACTCACCAGGACTGCAACTAAGCTGGAGATGGGTGTGAAGTAGGTTGATAGAGGTAGGAGAAGAACAGCAATAACACCAGCACTGGTGTCTGGACAAAAAATATGAGACTGGGATTACATGGGCTCCACAACCCTTGTCACAGTGCCACACAGACCCAAATGACCTCTCTTTGAAAAGCAAGATGCAGAGCACAAGAGACCTGAGGTCACAATCTGGAGATGCGTTCATGTTGGTTTCAGGACTGCTAGAGCCAAGCTGCTTTCCCTCTCCAACTCCCACACTCTCCATCTCTCCAAGGAGAAAGAAGCTCATCCCTTCTTCAGTTGAGCTGATGGATTCAAAGACATGACATCTCGGGCACTTTTCCCACCTGGATCTGCTACAACAAGGACACACTGGCTGAGCAGTCCCTTGGGTGGGTATGTGGTTGTAAGGGTGTCCCTGTGATGCCATGGAGCCAGGCACGAGGGGACAGCACAGGCGTGGGCACCAGGCACCCTGAGGGAGCTCACAGCCAGCCACACAGCAGGGATGGGCTCCCTGGGGGTCTGAGCAGCTGAAGGGCTTGGTCTGCACTGCAGCTCCTCAGCACTGCCTGCTTTCTTACAGCCACAGAACGGTTCGGGTTGGAAGGAACCCGAAAGACCATCCAACTTCACACCCATCCAACCTGCCCTTCAACACTGCCAGGGATGGGGCAGCCACAGCTTCTCTGGGCAACCTGGGCCAGGCTCTCCCCACCCTCACAGCCCAGAATTCCTCCCTCCCATCTCATCTCCAGCTCCCTCTGCCAGCTGGAAACCCTTTCCCCTGCTCCCATCCCTCCCTGCCCTTGTCCCAAGCCCCTCCCAGCTCTAT